AGAGAGAGAGAGAGAGAGTATGAGCAGGGGAAGGGCAGAGAGAGAGGGAGACACAGAATCCGAAGTAGGCTCCAGGATCTCAGTTGTCAGCACAGAGCCTAACACGGCGCTTGAACTCAACCAGCTGTCAGATCATGACCTGAACAGAAGTCAGATGCCTAACCAACTGAGCCACCCGGGCGCCCCGAAAATGATCATTTTTAATGTCAGTAGCAGCTGTTCCGATACCCCGTGTATGTCAGCTGGGCCCGTTGTAACTTCTGGGAATAGCTCACATGGTCGCCAGATCGTTCTCTGTGCCCCAGCTTCTGAGTGAAGTGACCGGGGAAGAAAACGGCCTGGTAGATATCGAGGGATGGTGAGCACATGGTGTGTGCTTTGTCCCTAGTCATGCTGACACGCAGGCCACAGTGGCGTGGCTCTTTAGGAACCTGTGCCTTCTGTGTGAGGAAATGGAAGCATCTCCGTACAATGACATCGCCAGTGCTATGCTTTCTGGTAAGTTCACAACAGGGGCAGGTTCACGGATAAACTTTAGGTCAGCGGGAATGCTTTTTGCTGTGACAGTCTGTGGGAAACAGGACAGCCCCGCACCCCTGGCATGGGAATCCGGAAAAACAGTCCATTCGCCGAGTGGTATTGGGGCAAGTGGCCACACACGTGAAGTTGGAGTCCTGCTTCACACAACATGCGGTAATTAAGTCACAGTGCACCAACGACCTAGAAGAAAATCTAGGGCCACCACCGCGTGAGACCATCTCCACCCAGGCCTCCCGCCTGGGTTTGCTCGTATTTGAATTTTGTGGAAGTTTCGCCAAGTCCGTCTGTTGACCCTCTGTGTCGGGGGCCGGTGGCTACTGTGTTTAAAATATGCAGATTACGATCTGCCGGACCAAGAGCTACAAGACTACCACACGGGGTCTGCAGGGAGCTCCCTCAGCCCTCAGCTCCCATTCCGGAGAGATGAACACCTCCGGGGCCCTGTTGATTGGAGGTGCAGCCTCAGTGTGCTCACAGAAGGGAAGTCAAGCCACGGAAATTGTTGCTTTCAGATCCCAGAAAAGGAGAGCTGCAGTTAGCTAGGGAAGTTCACAAGCGAGCGGGAGACAGGGTACGAGTGCCCGTTACTTGTGGGGTGATTGGACCTGAGGTCACCAACTTTTTATGGGCTCAGCTCTAAGTGGTTATTATTTTTTTAATGTTTATTTTTGAGAAAGAGCCCATGCCGAGGAGGGGCAGAGAGAGAGGGAGGCAGAATCCCAAGGAGACTGCGCTCTCAGAACAGAGCCCGGTGTGGGGTTTGGACTCACAAACTGAGAGATCGTGACCTGAGCCCAAGTCAGACACTTAACTGCCTGAGCCACCCTGGCGTCCCCTAAGTAGTTATTTCAAAAGGTGCCCTGGAAAAGCAAAGCAGGAATTGTGGCAGGCATGCTAAGCTAACGGCCTGATCTCATCATCATCGGACCCTGGGTGAGAGCAGGGGCGCCATGCTGTCCATTGCCTGGACAGTAGCTCGGAGTGGCAGTTTTCTTGTCACACTTGTCTTTTTCTGGGTGTCTTTCCCTTTGGGTGGGCCCGGTCCTAGGCTGCTCTCTGAGCCAGCAGAGCCTTGCCATTGTCAGTAATTCTGAGGAATGAAATCTCCAAATAAGCAACATATTAGATGAGAAGTAGAATGTTCCACACAGCTTGTGAATTTTTTTTACGTTACAAAAGATATGTTCCTTTTTCCTAAAGCTTTCTTGGTGATGGATGTGAGCTCCTTATGATTCCTGAATCCTGTAGTCTGGGCTCAGAGAAATTAAATTGAAGATTAGACAAAATATTTTTGATTTCAGTCCTTTAATTTTATCAGAACTTATGGGTCCATTTCCTGCCCCATTCTCCTGAATGTAGTGCTTCTGGGTCTTCCTGGAACAGTCCTTATATTTTGAGGTAGGAGATTGGCTGGGGAGATAATCCACATGAAACCCTTAGATGGTGTTTTTTTTTTTTTTT